GTGAAGTTCCATATTGAAACCCTGTTTCACCCTCATCGGTTTCGTCAACCACGTAGTATGACTAGTCCTCACATTTAGAGTGTGATTCATACTCAAGTATTTGATGAATGAGTTAATTATTTCTTTTATTACGAACGCATCAACAGAAACCATTCTTCAATCATCAGTATAAATCTAGTAAATGTCAATAGTTAATTTGTGTTTAAACGATGAATTCTAAATTCCGTTGTTAATTTGTGCTAACAACGATATGTCTACAAATAGAATAAGCACTGGACTTACCAGAAGCACATAAAATGGTTGCTGTGTGTGTCTGGACAACCTTACGCAATAACTACACATCACCTGTACAGGATATGATGTAATTTTTCTGTGGGACAAAATGTCAAAATAATTCAAAATTCTGATTAATTAACTTCTATGTGCTTCTGAAAAATATCATCTGACAGCCAACAACAGAGCTGAGCTAATAAACAACCGAACAATTTAATAGCCAAAGTTTATACATTAAGCTGTTTGAAGACATCTTTCATACATACAGTAGGTATAGAGCCATTAGCTTGGTGAAACATTTTTATAAAACTAATTTCAAAATAATAATAAAAAGGCGAAAGCCTCTGAACCCTGAATACCTTTGCTCTGATTGCATTGAAACACTTCACATTTGAAAAATATGTTAAGTCGTGTAGAATAACAACAGTGAAGTAAAAAATAAGAACTGTTCCTTCATCGTGCAAAAGTCAAAATTCAAAAACCAAAATAGTTTTTAAAAACTAAAGGATGATGAATTTATAGTGGTGTATGTGTATTTAAAATGTGTTATGCGAACAAACAACAACCGGTTAAAATGGTTTGCTGACTGTAAAAGGAAATTTAAATAACAATAAAAAGACTCAATAGGCTTAACTTCGACAAATACATGGAATGCACATTATATTACATCATTCATGATATAAAATCCGTCAACATATGAACTAAGTAACGTCCAAGAAATACTGTTATCACGGACAGGTAACGGGGTAATTAGCCAAAATCCCAACATAAGTAGGATATCTAGTGACCTTTATGTAATACATGATGACAACAGGTTGTACGTTACGCAAACTTTTGACCATCATTTATCTTGTCTAGTATAGGAACATGTTCATTCCACCTTTTTTGTTAAAAGGAGAACTGAAATTGACATTTTTTTACCACTTAGCGATATCGTATCGTACCAGTCAACCTGGATTCATAACAAAGTAGGAGGCTTCGATGAATGGTAAAAGCTAGACGATCTCTAAAGATAATACAAAGTAAAAGTGTTTGTCTTTCCATCTAATATATACAACCTTAAGATATAGTTAAATAACAAAAAAATATTGTTACATTGACTTTTAGTTCCTGTATCTCATTCGTTTCACACAACACTTTACCCCTTTTTATTTTACACTCTATAACTTTTCTCTGAGTAGTTTCCTCCACTTTCTACTTTATTGATGTTAAGGGTACTAAATTGAAGTAATACATAACTATATTTGATCACATGTAGATATTGTCTATTTTCTACAACTGCACATACATACACACAGTCACTACTCTACAAATCTGGTCAAGATTTCGTAACAACTAACAATAATAAGGTAATTATGTCATACGAAAATAATTAGGAGAAATGCTTTATTCTAGTTGTTAAATTATTTCTTTAAAACAATATTATTAGAAATAAACAAATCCAGAGAATTAGTATGAGGGACTTGTGGAGATTGTAGTATTTTCATAGTAGAAATTCAACGAATAAAGTTGACCAATCTTATTATTTATGATCAACCGTCATTAGACTAACACGAATATTTTTATAAAGATTTAAAAAAACGGGTTCGTTGGAAACTAAATGTTTACACTGATTTAGTTAAACAGTGATTTCGCTTCATGAAAATTTTAAACGTAACCATACTGACATCAAAATTTAGTATAAAGCGAAATAACCCTGTTCACCATTGTATAATAGGAAATTAGATATTTAAGGCTATAATCGCAGCTCAGTGAACAAAAGACAAATTTATATATTTGGCTTTGGGTTACAAGTTTTTGTATGTAAAAACTATTGATGCTATTCGATTTCTCAAGTTAAATTATATATAAAAAGACTAGCAAATGCAACGTAATTGTTAAATGTTGCAACTTTTTCCCATCATAGCTTTAAAAAGAGAAGAAAAGTATTACTTTTGTCTGGTAACAGCCTAAAAATTTGATAATTTCAGAGATCCAGTTGGTGAAGTCTAGGTCACTACCAAAACTGAGAAAACTTGTTATTATAGTTAATTATTTTACGCATATGACAGTGCAAATTCGAAACAGCAGAAATAAACTATATTAAATTATATGCGTTGGAATAATTAGTCCCATTCAGAATAAACAATTTGTGTGAAAAAATTATGTAGTATGGATGATTTTAAGTACTTGAAAATGTCTTTGATAAGAGCATAAGAACCAATGCGCTACTAAATACAGTGTATTTAAAAGTTGTTTTAAGGGCACTTTGCTAAATGCATTTAAGAAAACCCCACATAGTCATTTAATGCAATTCACTGGGTTATATACATGTTCCTATTGAATAGCGAGTTGAAGTAAGTTACTAAAGGTTACGAATATCCCTCAACTATTCGAACTGAAAACAGTGTTTATGGATGCGGTGGTCAGCCCAAGCGTTTGGGCCATCTATTTTACAATTGTGTAGAAACGGCAACAAACCATCTTTTTTTAGATTTTTTCAAACCGAATAATAATAAATGCTAATTGTGTGTACTCACATGTTATTTTGAAAGACTTACAACCTATAGCGATGCTGAATACTGAGGATCTCATATCGAAGCAGTGAACTTGCTGATACATTCTCCTTCTTGTCTACCCTTCGAAATTCATTCATTCAACATCTGATGCATAAAAATGGCTATAACAACTAAAGTGATTGTAAAATTCACCATTGAAGATGAGTAGGAGATACTAACTACCGAAAAAGTATTTATAGATATAATTTTTGAATTATTACAATTTGAGCATGTGTTAAAAGGAAATTTATCCTGAGAATTTCTTGATGCAAAAAAATTTATAATGGTGAATAGAGCTATTCTTATAATTGTTATTATTATGACCAATATTTATTATAATCGATAACGACTGCATACTTAGATCACTCGAAAATTACGGAGAATACGAAGATAGAGTTGTACTGAAGATCTACTGAACAGTGATAGGGATTGATTGTTTACTAAAATACCCTTAGCTTGTAGAGACAGAGATATACATTAAAGATTTGTTGAAACAAGCAACCATAAATAGATCTATAATGTCCTTCAAAGTGGGACGAACAATTAGTATGGTAAAAGAGTAAGAAGGTGTTTTTAGTCATAATAAAAATTAAGGATGCTTTGTATGAAGAATTTCGGCATGTAAAAACAGATATTCAAGTGTACAAAAAAAGTGGCAAAAACACTTTGAATGCCTTCAACATTTCAAACAAACAAACAGAGCCCTGTAGCTAACTTATGCATAAATGTTTGTACGAAAATTTACTCAGTGACGAAACTAAACATCATACTAAACTTGAGTTGACAGCAGTTATGTTATCAAACAAGCCAATAAAATAAAATTGACCAAAATTCAATGACAATATAATGCAATTATCTTTAGTATATGCTGTCATTTTAGGTCTGAATATCTTGATTTTCACTGTTAGAATCACCTAATGAAACTAAATCTTCATTTACTGAAATAAGTGGGACATGTGCAACATGCCTCAAACCACCTACCAGATGCGCAAGGTTGGCTGGAAGAAAAATGAGGGTGGCCAACGCAAGACATGAACTGAATTTCATAAAGCTATTGATTATTGAGTAGACGTAGAACAACTACTTAAGGTCAGCGTGATGACCGTGATCAGTGGTTCAGGATCGATTTTAGGAGCATAAATGCGTTGACGCTTTATTTTTCCCTGGAATTCAAGCTGCAGTATTTCTTATAACTTTTGTTCCTTGAATTCAATCCTTCTGCTCAAATAGCGTTCTCCAGTGCCTTGTCATTCTCAGTATCACTGAAACTGTATTTAATTCGGCTCTGCTGCTACTTGTTCTGTTAACAACAACCTGCTCTATCCATATTCTATAGTAAGTTCGGTAGAAGCACATTTGTACCAGGCTCTACGTTAACCATAAGAAATTAACGTCTCGAAATCCTAAATGATATCAGGGTGTGTAATCAATGACTTGGAAACGAAACTAATCACTCCACATTTACTATTGGAGATGATAACTTTCAGATTATTATTAGAATGAAATGTATTCACTAGTTAACGTTCTTTTAAATTGATAAAACCATACTTAAATTGTTTCACCATACAGAATAAACTCTGAATATAAATCGACCGACTATTTGAAACAGTAGACCATTTTGTGTATAAGAAACCTGAAGTTAACTGTTATTCGTACTCGACAAAGATTGGTAAATGAATATAATAAACGCTACTCTCAAGAACTATTACCAGAACAATATGCTCAGCAAATAACGTCCTAAGGACATTTCATATGAGAGACGGTATCAAACACCAACCCACCTTGAAGAGAATCCCGAAATGAGTGAAATAATCCACTGACACAACTACTATGTTTACTATTATTAAATGATGCATGAATGTAGATCACTTCCTAAAGCCACATTTCCTTTTCTGGAGGAGAGGAATGTATCTTAAACATTTCTGGATTGTTAAATGTTTAAAGGACTACACATTCTCTGAGTCTTCACTAAACAGAATAACTTCGAATTGATGGGAATGCCAGTCGTTATCAGTAAGAAGCTAGACGAACATCTTTAGAGGCAACTTCAGTCAACCTATCAAGATCTTCTGGTGTACTCTCACATAAGTTAGTACTTCCTGATTATTTTCTAAAAGTTGATGATCAGATGCCACTCTCTTATTCAAGTTGCTAATAGTGATGTGCAGTTACTCATAATATTATGCATACCTGTTCCGCGATGTGTTTAGAAATTGATGTATTTGTAATAGAAGGATCTTGAAAACTTTGTACACCTCCTGGATTTATTTCATCGTTCGAGTGTTCTGAGCATTCTATATGTGATGGAGATACTGATGTTGGTTTCGGTAAAACAGAACTGAGACACAATGGCCGATCGGTTATTCCACAGGATGATGGCCAAATCATTTCACACGACAAAGGCTGTTCAAATTGTTGATGAATCTGTGTTGATTTGAGTGTGTGGTTAGATATTGCTATTGGGTCATATTCACCATATTCCATATCACCAAGTTCAGACTGTACTGACTTTTGTTTAGGATTTGTGATCATATTTTCAACAGAACTGTATTTACCATACTGCAAATTGCGAAGATAATGGCAACAGTTATGACTCCTTAATTCTGATGAAACCCCTATCGATACTTGCCGAGAAATTAATTCGTTCAATTTTAAACCGATTGTAGTGACCTAATATTCATTTCAAGAAATAAAAATTTACATCATGAAATACGAAACTTTGAGCAATTATAAGAAATACATCAATGTGTATATATTTAGAAATAAAACAACAATATTTTGGTATAACTTGTAAAAATGTGTGCTTTTCTGTTGTTGATATTCAAAATTGAGTTGATCAGTTTTTGTTAGTATATAGGTTTCATAAATGGGTTCTCCAGTGTTGTTTGATTTTTACAATTTTTCGAATGACAATTCGTAATGTAATTGTCAGCTTTCATGTAGTCTTATTAGAGACTTATCGGTTGGAGATACTTGTATCATTGTGATCTATCAGTCAGCTACAACGTAGGACCAGACACATATATGCTTCGGTTCAAGTTGCCACACCACATCAGCACAACAAGATGAAAAACACATTCATAGAAAAAGTCACTCCAATGCTAGTAATATATAAAAGAAAGATTGTGTATAAGGATATAAAACAGGAAGAAATAATTAGTTCATAGAAAGAAAGGTATGAGGCAATCTTAATTTCACCGTTTAAGGACAGACAAATAGTGTATACACCGACGCCATTGTGATCGATTCTCAGCCACGTAACCCATGATCTCCAACCATTGGTTACGATAGTGGCTCGGACGCCAACCAAGTAGTCTGCATCTAACAACATGGCACAGACTAGAAGTTAGTGACTCCAAGGACTGATGCCACGATTTGGTTTAACTGCCCCTAACTTTCTTCTAACCATCCCCAACAGTAGTCAGCATTGTGCGTCATGATAATCGGTGTTCACGCATGCGTAACACGTGGCCCGACCATCTCAGTCGACGAAGGTTTGCAACCTCATCAACTGGTTTACCATCATTTCCTAATACCCTGTGTCTAACCTCGCTATTACTTACTAGGTGATCCCAGCAGATGCGAGCAATATTTCTAAGACATCTGTTGTCAAATACTAATGGCTTACGAGTATCTTCTACTCTTAATGGTCATTTTTTACAGCCGTGAAGTAGAACAGAAAGAAGTGCCGCACAGTGTACTCGTCCTGTAATTGATAGACGGATATCTTGCCTTAGCAATAGGTGACATAAGTTGACAAAAGGTAAACGAGATCTTTGAATACTTGCTGAGATTTCGTACGTCAGAAACCAATCCTCTGTAAAATTATGAACTGAAGGTCTTACATTCACTTATAGTTTGTACTACTAACATTCGCCTTTACTTCCGTTATGCTGTAATCTTAAATTAACTTTTACCTCGCATACAATTAAACTGAATAACCCATTGGTCTCATTGGTAGGTTCACTTGACATATTATCAATGTAATTGATCATTATTGACTATAAACAGGTGTGCCTTTTTTCTTAGAGTAATTACATAGATAGCTAAGCAACTTAGCCGATTCTTAACCTTGGTGATGAGGCTCCGAAAAAATTCAAAAATGTATTGAGTTACATTTACTGTGACTAATACGGTGAACAACAACCACCAATGTGCAATAAATACTTGTGGAAGCTGAATCAATCAGGTAATTTTGATGACCTCTTTAGTGTATTTTTCACTAAATTAAGTAGTAAACAACATTCGTTTTTTATTGACACCTGCGAATCTGCCCTAAAGTTGATTGAGGAAGATAATCGACTGATAATTTGATGAGAGCTGTCGCTAGATTATGGTGAAGTTAATTAGTTAATCTGTAAATTTGGAATAATCACGGATTATTGAAGATATCACTATATGATAAGAACTATAGAAGTCTGATTACGTCCTACAAATACCTAGCTATCCATTCATTATAGCCAGAGTAGGAATTAACAATAAAGGGGTCAAACGATCAAATGGTGGGATAGATTCATAAACCAGATTCAGAAGTTTTGTATGGTAATACACTAACTTTACCGAACGTATGATACGTTTTTCTAACGTAGTTTTGGCCACAGATTTCTTTTCCTCAATGATATGTATGACAAGCAGTCTGGTGCCCTATACAGCTGTTCTTAAATAATAAGAGTGAAAAAGGAATTTAGACGATGTAATAACGAAAACTGTTTTCAGCAAAAAAAATGTTTGACTCTGACAGATTTAGGGATCATGAACATTAAGCGACATACCGTAATATCACCTGACATTAAGAACTTTAATAAATAAGTTCATACAATGAATTAAGAGAATAATTCTCAAAACTAAACATTGAGCACAGAAAATAAAGTTCCTGAAAAGGATGATAACAACTTCGTATTACCACTGCAAAATATATGTTATATGTTAAGGTAATTGTTTGCTTCTTGCACATTTTAATTTTTAAATAAAGAAAATCTACACGAAAAAATCGGAGTAGAACATTGATTGACTAGAAAGGACATATCACGAAACCTCACAGGCAGATAACTGGTTCAATACAGAAGTGCTTGCTATTTTTTTGTCAGTCTTTTTATGATCTAACTAATTTTCAATTCAACTACAAACATTTTGTGTTCATTTAAAAATAATTTTATTGCGAAATAACATCAACCGAAAAACCATTCATACTCACCTAAACTTATAAACCAAGTCCATATAATAGTAATTCCTTTAAATTCCATTTATTCTATACTTAAGGCTAACAAATAATGAACTTCATTGATTGATATAATCTTATTATTTGATAGCCATAAGGCCTTTCAATCTTTTTCTGAAGTCAATAACAAATCTTAAGTTAAATGGTGACACAGCATATATGATAATACACTATTGTTAATCCAAACGATTAAGATTTGCGGCATCACTAAATATATTCACCAGTGATAAATACTACAATGAATGACTTGTAAATTAAGTAATCATCGTAGAAACAAGGATTTGATTAATAACAGACAAAAGTCAAAGACATAGAGATTTGAAAGCAAAACCGATTATTATCATAAACATTTTACAAGGCCACGTTTTTTTGTAAATAAATACTCACCCACGATAAACCAATTAGTTCAGTGTATGCTGGTGGAGCATAAATAATGATATTATGCGTAGCATCAACAATTATAGCAACCAGACATTTTGAGTGTACACTCAATACTGATTTTGGAAAAACAGGAGTGCTACTAGTAGTTAGAGGAATATGTATACCAACAACGGTACCACCACTGCTAGTAGTAGTATTAGTAGTAGCAGTGGTATTATTACAACAATCTGACATCTCCGTACAAGTAACAGATGATGATGACGAATCCGATTCGGTTGGGTGATAGCCTACTAATGGTAATTTATCTTGTGGCTTGATATTTGAATCTGTAAATATGAAATAAACAAATCAAAAGTTATAATACTCCGATTTATTGTGTACATTACACTTGTTGTATGAAAGTTTACAATACCACCTAGTTGGTCAAGATAGTGAAAAAGGTCCATAAATTAACAGATGAAAATCGATTGAATCAATCATATAAACTGTATATAATTATTAGAATCAACTCAGCCATGTGTTATAATTATTTTGAGAATCATGAATTATGTACTTTTACAGCAATAAAGTAAAAATAATAAAGGCAAAGTCTAGAAATGTTGTTAAAAACCAATTATAGTTCCTATAAAACTAACGAGATGGTAAACTCTTGAATTTCGTAAGGATGAAAATGAGGTCCAAGATTATAAACTAGTAATAGCGTAATTAATACTACATATAAAGCGTCACTTATTGATACTTATGTAAACTATCGAGTTCTCACAACACTCGAAAATGACGTAATTATATGTGGAAAATGTCGAAGTTGTATGGTAGTAGTACAACCTATTACAATCGTAAAATGAAGACGTCGAGTAAAAATCTATTAAACAATTAGCAAAGAAGTAAAAGCAAAACAGAGGAAATTTGGCAAGTTATTGTGTTTGTAATGCTAACTATTGAAAAAGCTTGATTGTATCAACATTTTATGTAATTTTATATTTCCATTTATTCAAATCAACAGATACGGCTAGCAGGATAACCTGTCAACAGTTTGACTTATTTCTCTCGAAGCATTAGGTTGAAACAGTTACTTACCAAACCATCACTGAATCAAGAAGTTAGTAGATGAAATATGTCATTATACTAGTACACTAAAAGTTCGTTACGACATGAAAGAGATTTAGAATTCTTAACACTCAAATGCCGAACAAACGATGCTTAATTACCTGAAATTTTTTGAGGGGTGCAGGGTTAGTATATAATGCTAAGTGAAATTCATCACGTAAAACTAAGTATGTCGTAGAGAATAAGTCTTTTCAGTGTACCCGTTACTTTTTATGTTAGTAATACTTTCAAAGCTGTCTGTTCACGATATTCCCCACTACATACTCGGCTTCATTTTCCACAACAGTTTGTTTTGCTTTATTAAAATTCATAAGATGAAACCATGTAGTAAATTACTGAATTAAGTGTAAAAACTGTATATTCATGTGAAAACTGTTGGCAGTCATCAGATCTTAGTACTTCATTTCGGAGTTTACCATTACAGTAATTTCCATGTTTACGATATAACTCTCTGCTGTTACAATTACTTTTCGGTGGAGTTTCATGACGTGACAAAACTTCAATAAATGGAAGTTCTGGCTAGACTGGGTCGAAGAAGTACGTCAACATAAATCCTTCAATAGGAGAGGAATTAGTAAAACGATCCTTTATGAGAAAAAATCCAAATAAAAACTAAAAACAAGTGTGGCACAAAAGCTGCATTCATAGACACGGTAATGAACTAGGTTCTGTTTGCCCAACCTCAAGGATATGTAAAGTACAGCTCATAACTCTGACACACTAGGTCGGAGTTGGGGATTAGAAGGAAAAGAAAACTTCAGTGGGTAAATTACACTAACCCGGTTCAGACGAAGGATAAAGCCAGTTATACAAACATAAGGAATTGCTGGCTATGCGCACAATAACAGCTTTTTCTAGCACTGGTGTGGACAAGCTGTGTTGTCTAAATATAGTTGTAGCAAGACGATAAGTCGGGGCGAAATCAAGCTCTCCAATGGTATTTAATAATGAACCAGATTCTGTTAGACCGTTTAATATTTGCCCGGGGTTATCTTCTCCCAACTGTCCAACCTTGTGACACTTATTCTTGAGGACATCGGCAGCCAGATTTTGTTGGATCGGTAGTGTTAAGTACAATTCGACTAGCGCCTGATTTTCACGATGTCTTCTCTGCCTAGCTGCAATACGCGACTTCTCACGACGCTCATAAGTTTGCTTTCCCTTTGAATTATTCTCTGATTTGACTTGAAGATCACCGTTTTTAGAGATGATAGGATTATAATCTGAAGGTAGTGAAGGGTTGTATGATTGATTATCAACTTTGAGTTTTTCTTTTTCATGTGAAGATGCATTTTTCTTCCTGGATTTATTGTAGTTTCTGCTAAAATATTTGAGATAAAAATACAATAACTCTAAACAATAAAGAAAAATCCACAAAATTTGTTTAGATAAATTCATTGTCACATAAGAGAAAACGCCACCATTCTATTATAAACAATGCTTGTGTTCCATTTTGCTCTACTGAGGACTATGTGCAAAAGCAGATAAGATATTGCATGATTCCAATATCCATTCCATAAAAGTTCAAATATCAACATACTAAATGATTGTGCACTTTATCAAATATCAAAAGGTTCTACAGTTCATAGTCCACTGTAAAAAATACGGACAAATCCTGAATTATGTACGGGCTGTTTAACCTAAATAGCAGATGGTTCTTACATAAAAACTGGTTAAATTGTATCCGTATATAGTTCAACGAAGAATGAACATCATTAATTATTTTTCTAACATTTCACTTTGGGGGTCCTGAAGATTATTTTCTGAATTCAACCACCTGTCAAAATGTAATTTGATTGCTAAAGGTTTATGTGTAACAACTATAACGTATGAAAACCTGCATGATAATATTTCTTTATGTTTATGTGGTCCAGATTTACAATTATAATCGGGATAACGATTGCCAGTCAGTCAGTCAGCTACAACGTAGGACCAGGCACATATAAGCATCGGTCCAAGTTGCCATACCTAACGATTGACATTATTTAAATAATAACTACTTCTAAATTGTCAAAATCCAGGAACACATCTATTATACGCTTTTGAAACTAAACGTATTACATCGAACTTTGATCATACATTTTTAGAGGGGTTCAATTCAACTTCATGATAAGTAGCAAATGAAAATGATAGGATCAAATGGATCTTTTCTACATAGTATGCAACCAAGCATAAAACATGTGGCAACTGGAATTGCATGAAGAGAAGAGAATCTAAATGACAGATCCACAACATTGTCATTACTTGAGAACAATCAACTACTTTAATAAGAATTATGACACAACACATGAAATTCCTAGCGAACGTTTTGATTATAATAAATCTTGTTTTCAAAGCAAACAAACATTTAACAGGTTGCCGATATTTCAGTTTTTCGGTCAACAGCAATTCCTAGCTTGCAAACACAGATATAACCGAGCATATGGCAATGTTTATTTTATAAGTAGATTTCAATCGAGACATACTAGTTGATAATATACAATCACTAATAAACTATGACCCTAAATGCTCTGGTACGACCGAGAGTAGGGAGGGTCAGCTCTCCCTCTCAAAATGCTCTCACATGGCCACATGCATACAACTACTGCCAGTGAAGTCCTACTCAATGCCTTCTCGCGGCATTACTGTTGTTCACGAAATTGAGAGGACGAAAAGCGAATAATCTAGCGCTTTAACCGGGTTGGTGGATACAGAGAGTCCACTTTAGGAAGTTAGAAAACCCTGGTTCCAAACCATTGGTGCACATGGGCTCCAGTATCCTGAAGAAACGAATGGCGTATGGACATATTGTTGGTCACCGGCTACCATTGGAGTGCATCTCCTGATGTTACCTCACTGCCTTGTGAACCAAACCTTTACGTCGAAGGCTCTGAGTGTGGGCTTCTAAGAAAACCACCCGCTTCCGTTGGAGCACCCGGGCAGAATCTCAGTCCTCACACAAATCGAATGATTTGTGTGGCGCATATGTTTGGTGCCTCCTCATATCAATGTTTATGTGTTTCAATAAAAAATACTAATAAACTATACTCGAATTGTATTAGCACGAATATGTGCACCTCCTACACTGTGCACTAGATTTCACTTGTCTTCAGATACCGAGATCTGACCATAGACCCAAACAAGCTGTGGCAGGATGAATTCCTCAGTTATATTTAATCGGGTTGCTGTTATAAACACATCTGGAAATACGAAACTAGGGAATCATCTGGGCGTAAACATGTAACATGACTCGTGGACATATGCATTGCAAGTTAACTACACAATATTCAGCTAGTGGACGAGTTATTTTGCAATAATTCTTTAGGATTATGCCACAAATAGTCACTATTCCAAGAAAAAAACGGCGCCCTCAGCTAAACTGACTTTGTCTACAAACGTAATAATGGGTAATACTAGTCAGTCAAAAAAACAATCCCAAGACATTATGGAAAAATTAGTTACATTGCAAGAAAGTGCAAACACACATTTTACTTTAAGCTAAAGTACGGAAAAGACCTGGATTTCCATTAACACATTAAAAGACGATACCACCACACTCTAGACTGAATTCTATAAAATCAGGTCAGATCTACAGGTTTAATATCGCTAATACCATCTAATGGGCTTCAAAAAGAAATTTGTTCACTGAGGTGACCGATAGTGAATCCCAAATCGGTCGAAAAACTAATAAACCACATAGTCTAGAACCATACAGTGTGGAACACAGATACACGAGAATAATATGACTAAAATAGTGTGAGAAAAGGGAAAACTGGCGTGATTTCCCACGGACTGCAAAACTATGACTCAAAATGCTAAAAGCTATGCTGAGTTTCATGTTTGTTCTCAAGACGGAAACTTATACGCAGCAGTGGACGTCTAATGACACACATAATGATAGAGTTACTATTTGCCTCAGTTGAGGCAAAATGGTGAAATCCTGAAAGAATTCGGAGGAACATATGATACTATCCAGCTTAAAACTAGTGAGTAAATTCTTTTTAAACTTCATTCACCTTCCGTAATCTTTGCGAACTTGTTATTCATACTTTAAATTCCCTAAAATATCTTTATTTTTACTTGCCAAAACTGTTTCCAAAGTGTCTTCCTGTTAAAGACTTCCTAAGGAAAAATGGATCAAAACATTCGCCGTCTTACACCTGTTTTCCTAAACCGTGAGTTGAATTTGCACTCGAACAGTTTAATTTTCAGGACAAATTTAGACATTGGATAAACACATTTGCCTCCAATGCTTTGATTTAAAGATACATTCTTCCTCGTTAGCACACGTTGATGAGCAAGAAAAAAGCCAATAAAGAATTTCTTAGTTACACTCCATCATGAAAACCGAGACAGATCAGAATTACTGTTAATCCTCAGTTCTTATGTTGAAGCATGCTGAAACTTTAGATTAATTCATGAAGAAACCAAAACCGTGTTATTAAAAGATATCTTATTGATATCTTAGAAACACGGACAGCAACCCTAAAAACCCACAAATATTACCACATATATCCTGTCTATCTCGACTTTTGTAATATCAGAGCAGTTAGTAACAAAAGTATTCACAAGACAGATAATCTAGACCACATATTAGTTTTGATAGATTTTATTAACAATATGTCAGATAAAGAAACAAGCATATATGTGAAAAATAGCTATACTCTTATAAAACAATGGGTGAAAATTCCTAGATTCTCATAGAACAAATCAGGATCTCCGACTTATCAAAAAAATAAAAAAATAGTTAGACTTAACATACGTTGGGCAACCAGGTAAGCTTCGAGGAGCAGTAGTTGGTAAGCACATTTTACAATGTGGTACCGCGACAGTTGTCCTAGGCGGGTTCCGATAATGGTCCTTGAAAAAAATTCAAATTCAAAGAAAAAGTTTCACATTAATAACTTTAGGACAGCGAACCTGAGAAATCACTCTGTCGAGTCGTTAGTGTGACTCAACATTGTCGCTTATTTGTGAGAAAAATGAGTTATACGCGATCCTATGTTTAATGGGAGCCAATCATTTCGAGATCTGCAGAGGTGGAACGAGTGATTACTAAATCACATAATATGTGTGCTATACGAAACGTCTTAAGCTAAGAAATGAAACTTCTCATGTAGGTTTGATGTTGGATAAATAAAGTCTCAATATAACTGTCGTCACAGGAACGTGACTCATCGTAGATAGACTGTTTTCGATCGATTGCGCAAGGCATCTGTGCTAGGAGTGACAGAGTTATAGATCTCAATGTACGAGGCGTAATATTGTGTTAAAGATCACTTGTTTGTATTTATGAAAGCTTGTCTTTATTTCACTTTTCGTATCCTCACATCCGTTGGTTATGATTGCGTGCATATGAATATGTCGATGAAGGAGTTCATACATCTAAATTATTTCACTGAAGTCACAGGTCGCTGGGTTTTATGAGGGATGAATGTTATTAAAAGATATCTATAACAGTATTGATATACATGCTGCGAATAACTACGGAAAACCTACTGCATTACTAATTTTTACGTGCTTTGTCATCATTTCATTTCATTTTGTCATTCTCAATTCATAAGTTTTCGAATTGCAGTTGATCAGACAGTCCGATTGAGCTGTTCTACCAGGAAGCTATAATGGAACTTAACGTCCTCAAGTGTGATGAGTACTTGCCGATATTCCTTATGATTATTGTTCGAAAAGGTTGTGTGATTTTTCGACCTCTAATTTTGATTCTGACAACAGTTTTGGTTGACACACATATTTACCTGTATTACTTGTGACTTTCCTTACTTTCTTGAACAGATCAGCAACGCACTAACTAACCGTTTCCAAGAGAGATTCAATCTATTTAGCCATAATGTTTTCTTAAACATGGGTTAAGAGTAGACTAAAATCAGTGCATGAGAGTTACAACTCTAGATGAATGTTTTCACTACAATATGTTGTTAAGTATTTTTTGATACGGTTGTTTGTAGAATTATTTTTTAATTATTTATAAGTTCATTTATCCTTGCTCACAATATAATAGACTTTATCCCATGAGTGACGTTTTCTCATGATTTGACCGTCCAATCTGCAAAATCTTACGTGGAAGCCATATCATTGTCCCTACTGGCTTGTCATACGTGAAAACCGGAAACTTAATATTTAGAACTTCCGAAGAATACGTTCAGTCTGGGGATAGAATAATATGTTCTATGTGAAGAAATATAAGTCACACAGAACGACCACGCCTGCAAGCCCGTGCCATGCCATATTGAACAATTAATACCACATTAGTCATTTTTTTATCTTCTCCCTGTGTTAGATGTTAATTGTGAATTTCCTCATTTATCTTTTATTCAACGTCGAAGATCGTGTGGCAATGAACCAATAACACTACAATGCTCACTCACCAGAGTCAACGTGACATTGATTAGACACCGAACCCAGCGGGCTAAATACACTACAGTGGTTACCAAAAGAATAATATAAATCTGTAGTGTCACTGAATCTTAACCATGATCCTCAGAGCCGACAACAATGTTGACCATTTATATTTTAGGCAGATTACACAGAAAATAGAGAAAGGAGGAATTTGATCACTTGGATGGTAGATGAATGCGGTTGCGTACAGAATTTGTAATTTATAAGACACTAATTTCGAACTATGTACTGATAAACATATTTTTCAATGGATACAAATGTACTCAAGTATTAGTGTGGCATCAACATTTTAGGCTGAAAGCTAAGAACCTTGCGAAACTTTTCTCCAGTAAGCGTTTAACGACTTTCGTTTTTCACCTGAATAAATCATTTAAAACTATGGGCACTACTTCTTGTGATAGGTTCCATGTTGTAATTACATATCGTAGTGAACTTGTAGTGGCATTGGACAATAACCACACAATCCACAAAGCTGAACACGAGACTACTCAGAAAACAGATATTTAATATTTAACGCGGAGAAATACCTAACAATGGAAAAGGCGGGGACAAGGAATTGAATGAATTGGAATTGATCGGATGGCATGGCTCTGCCATGCAGGCGTGGTCTCTCTGAATGTTACCTTATATCTTCTATTCATATCAAATATACTGTTCCTTCTCTAGCCTAACCTTGTTCTACATCATGTATTGGTAATGATACGGTACAGTGAGTTGGTGTAACCGATGGTGTGACTTCCACGTAAGATCTTATAGATTAGGAAGTTATATCATGACAAATCTACAGTTTTGGGATTACGTCTATCATTAGAGCAGTACTAATATCATAGTAGACCATAATTCTACAAACTTGTCCTCTAATCCGAAGCAGGACCGAGAAAAGACTTAAACTTTATAAGTCAAGTTGGATATGGTATAACTAGTATTTCTAGAAGTGCACATATAATTTAGTTCTAATGTCAAACAGATGCTTGTGGCATACACTCATTTTTCAAAACACTTCACCAGGTAAGTGTAACATGTGGTGAATATATTCATGTCCAATCGAATGAAATTTTTTCGTGATGCTCATAAAATTTAAAATACTTTAGATTTAGTCGAATGACAATGTGCCATGGTCTTAAGTTTACGATACACTATAGCCTGTATATCATTTCGAGATTGATTTTTCATCACATATAAAGCTTGGTGTCTGTCAATGAAGTTGGCTCATATATATTTTTAGTCATGTCTATGTGTATCAAAATCCACTCGTCCAAACTGCATAACGTAGAGTGGGCCGAAAAGTGCTGCACTGGAGTCAGCTATTGAGGAATGAGAGGAAGAAGTGTACTAAATTTGTCAAACAACGCCTTGGTGACAGTCTATTTTGCTAATTTTGAGCTGATGTGAAATCCGAATTTTGACTACTTGATTTATATATGCCGTTGGAAGCCTTTAAACTGCATTTTCCCGATTTGTACTGTTCAAAAGATATCATCCAATGACTAACTTATGATAATGTGAGAGTTGTTCAGAATGTTGCAGAAAAAGATCTGAAAGAGAAAACGTGGGCGCATATAAAACTTATTGTACCCGAACGGTACTTTTTCCGGCCGGTCTAATCAAAATTGTTAACAAAATTAATAGTCAAGGAAAAATATCTTACTAAAAAAGGTACGTCAAATGGGGTTTTTCTACCGATGAACAATCAAATAGAAGATTGTAATTATATTATAAATATAAATTAGCACCAGTAACTAATAGAAAACGCTATGAGGCAAACAGAAGACGTGCTTCAAAACCGACTTCATGGAACTGAAGTAATCAGCGAAACCAAGAAGTGTCGCTAACAATTTAGAATTTGTAAACGGTGTTGTGGTAATTACCGCAGGCGAACCGAAAAAGGAAAATTAATATGCTAAACTACAACCAGCGGTAGGAGCAAGAATAAATACAATGGAGTAATAATGTTATGGTGAAGAAGAAAAGACACATCCAGGGATGCTTAACATGTTCCTATAACGAAGCAAGAAAATGGATTTTACCAAAATACTAATCCCAGTTTCACTCCATGCAGCATAAGTCGCCGACTAGAATTTTTCAGGCAACTCCGTTTTGAGCTACCCATTCCTTTGATATCTGTTTCTAATTTCGGACACACTGATTTTATTGGCCTCGCACGTTTTCTTTTGCAGTCAGGACGCTCTGTTGGGGCTTTGCTAATGGTGCAGTTTTATGATTTTCTCAAGTTGTGTCCTACCAACCTCCAGTTTATTTCCCTAATTTCCTTTTCATTTGAAAGGTGGTTGGTTTCCTGGAATTGCAGTTTGTTGCTGATGACATCAAACGAACGGATCATGAGTATCTCACATGGACAACTACTCAAATGCCTGTAACTTTTTGTTAGTGTTTACGGTAGTTCACCAGGTTTTAGGTCCACACAATAGAACCGTCTTTTGGTTTGTGTTGAAAATTCTTACTTTGACGTTAGATAACAGTTAATTTTGGTTCCAAATATTGTTTCGTTGTACGAATTTTGTCCATTTTTTGCCGATCCGTGCTTAAGCATCTGCATTGGAATTTGTTAATCGATGATGCTGCACAAGTACAAGAACATCACATCTCTAGCACGTCGTCCTTGCTGAATCCAAGTGTTGTAGGATCCAAACTACGGTTTGGTTTGAAGAATAGCCTCCCAAGTGGATTAGACACGCGCGTTTGCCCGTCAAAATCAAAACCAGTAATCGGGTAAATAGCGGTTCTACAATTCATCATAAATTTAAATGTAACTCGTTACCTAAACAAATATTACCACACGGCTATTCAAGCAATAAGTGTTCAATCAATCAAATCTAAATTACAATAAATAAAGAAGTTGATAAAAGATGCGGGAAAATTACCCGTCACAACAAATGAACGTTATTCTATCCTGACCGGACACAACACACACAAAAGGAGGGGAAAATCAATATGGCTGCAGCTAAGGAGAAGTATCAAGTAAAACAACATAGATGCAGTTCGGGAAGAAACACAAAACTTAGTGAAGGCGTAAGAAAAACAAAAACTATAATAAAAAGTACAAATATTAACAATTCAAATGTAATCAAAAGACAACAATGTACAACTAAGGGGGACAATAGGAACAAAGTACAAGTATATACATGGAGGGATTTTTACAAACACACAAAACTTTCAAAATGGATCTTACAGTGTAAGTAACCTTTTCGAGGATATCGCTTGTATAGTTAGTTCCACATCGAAACAGGCCTTGCGAATGAATAACGTGGTGGAGTAATTTGACATTTGCTACGGTTTATCATCCTTTTCTGTTGTTGTTTGAGACTCACTCACGTAATGAGCATCTGAGTCTACGATTAGATCCTTGTTCCATAGCTGGTGTTCGAACGTACTCAAATTTGATGGCTAACAGTTATTTTCGTGAATCTATTTTCTCACTTCTTACTAGCTAGACATG